AAGTAATCAGTAATTAGTTACTGATTACTTTTTTCAAGTAACTTGACCAACACTGGTGATGTGTGTGGGCTGTAATTGAAAAGCTGGATGCAGCAGATGCTCATATTATTAACGTAACTGCCGCAAATTTCTTTGTAAAAGTGATTCCGATGTTAAACATTAGTTCCCCGTGACTTTTCTGCCAGGTAACTTGTGCCCCACCTGTCAGAACTCATGCAGCTAAATCAAATGATTTAGGTTCATGAATGTGGCTTAGAAAAGGTGCTTTGGGTGGTCTGTTGAAGTATATATGCATCACTGCAAACAGGAAGTTATGAAACATGCAGGGATATGAAATACCCCACACTCAGGTGCCCACAGATTGGACGACACTAATCTTTGAATCCTGCTATAATTTTAATCCAAACAACAAACCTGTAGAGTTTCATGAATGCACCTTGCACAGTTGCTATCGTTAATGCCATCATATTGACAAAATCTCTCCAAACTCACTGCTCAGTCAAAGTCAGGCCTCACATTTCCACAGTCCTCAAACTGGAGTCTTTTCTCTCTGAGGTAAACTTTCTCAACAAGGACTAAAGACTTCCAGCGTTTTAATTTCATAGAACAAACCTCTACATTTCACACTGAACTAAATTTAGAAACAAATGTGCCCTGGCAGACTATTCCTCTCCCCACGTAACGTCACTACATTGGTCTGCAACGTGGGAACAGCAACCTTTATTAGATATCTGGATTTGTAGCCTGAAGAACAGATTTATGATCCAGCTTTTTTTAATGGCACTGTCAAGTCACATTAATTTCTCAGTAAATAAAGGAGAGTTGAAGGAATTGTCTGCTTACCTGCATGGACACGGCTCGGACTTGAATTGTTTTTGGTTGGGAAAACAGCTGGGGATCAGCAACACGCACGGTGAACTCACCGTTCCTGCAGGAAGACGAAGAAAGGGGAACTCTTAAATGAAGACAAATCTTGGAGTAGGGAGACTAAACTTCACCATCCCTTATTTCTGAAATTGCTTTAAAAACTGCTTTAAGAATGTGACAGGCTTGGCAGCTGAGGAAAGTGGGGAAATGAGTCCCGTGAGGGTAGCATGCTGTGTAGTCATTAGACCTGATCACCTGTGAGTTATCTGTGGGAGTGGAGGTCAGCTATCACAAACAAACCAAAGCCCACCTGCTCACACACTCATCATCATCAATGCGCCCCCCTACACTGCTGCCTTACCATATTCCAAGCCAAGGCTTATTACCCACAACTCCCCAGGGCTGGAGCTGGGAGACATCCAGAGAGTCTGGAGATCAAATAACCGAGCGGGCTGTTTGTTTTAGTGACAGAAAGGAAAATAACGCTTTAAGGAAAGTGCTTAGGTGCTTTTTGGACTGCAGTAGCATCTTTGAAAGTTATGACAAAAGTCTGCTGAAGGTTGTTTTGCTAATAGTTTTAACCATCATGGTCCTCTGGTCCATGTGTTTCTAGTTTCTCCTGCCTCACTGGCACCACGTTTAATGCCAGTCTTCACATGCTCACCCATCTCGTTTTAGTTTCACTTCCTGCTTTTGGGCTGGACGTCTCTTCCTGCTGAGATGTTCTCAAGCTAGTTGAGAGAAATAATCCCTGACTTACTGCCAGTAAAAACACACCAAACTGCAGCTCTACGGTTGCTGATTGGCCACAGAAACAGCCCAGATACGCGTAAAGTATGGCGTTATATTAAAGTAACATAGAAAATATTTCTGAAAAATAGTCACTGAAGTTGTAAATCTCATTTTCTGTGCAGAGTGTTGCTGTTGCTGGTACATGTCTTCACTTCATTATAGATGAGAGAAAGATTTTTTTTAAAATGCAGCCTTGAGACAAGTGGAAAGGCTTCTGATCTGTAGTCAAGTCTACCACTCAAAGAAATAAAATTCATTTTATGTCAGCGTCTTGACCCATGGCATGTTTTTCTAAGGCACTCGTGAATGAAAATAACTCATTTTGAAAGCTCAAAAGACTTTGTCTGCAACAGCAATCTACATTTAATCTTTTTATTCATCATTCGTCCATTTTTTCCCACCATCATCTGAACGCAGCACATGTTTTTGAGGTTTTTTTCCTGATGGACACATCTCCTCTTACGGGAATTAAAACCTGTTACCATGTGCTTGCTGTTCTGGGTCTACAGCCGTCGTCCTCTGCTTGACATAATTTGAAAAATATGGCAGATTTAATCTCATTTGGAGTTTTACATTTTTCTGTCTCCATTAATCTAATGGCTTAAACCTGTACAGAGGATCACATTTTGCTAATTCACTGGCATGCTGCCATTCTAGGCCTAACCAGCTGAGTCAGGATTGACCAATATGACTGCTCTGTCCATTCAGACTGAGTGAGTGGACATCTGTCCCAAACACAGCGACAGAGGGGAGGCTGCAGAGAACAATGGGCAACATTTCTCATCCATTAACATAAGACTGCCTTTTATTTGATTTTCAGCTGCTTTGTTTTCCTTGCAGGATGTCAGGGGTCAGCGCTCTTTAATGTCTGCTTTCTGCTGTCTACACGTATCTGCAGCCTCTGTGATTCCCGGCACGGAGTGCACTCAGACTGGGGTCAAACAGAAAGAAATGCAGATTATGCAAATATGCATGTAAATGTAATGCATCTCACATCCATGTTCAGGTTAATAGAAATGAACTTTGGAGCCAAGAAGCAGCATAAATCAAACAGGAAACTTTGACAAGGAGTGAAAAATTAAATGTCAGGATAGTCATTAATGAGAAGGAAGGAGACGATGAGCTTAAAGGGATAGTTTTATCCACAGTTTGGAATAAGCTAACAGCTATAGTGATCAGGTCAGAAAGGTCTGAGGAGTCTAAGGAGACATGCACAGACCTCCCAGACAACACCTCCAGTAAGTCCTGGATTTACCCAAGAGGCATTCTGGTCATCAAAGGAAGCTCATGTCTGCTGCG